CAATAGTCATTTTCAGTAAACTTTAATGAAAATCTGTATTTTCATTATTGAGGATTGACACATAATTGCATCAAATTTGACCTAAAATGGTTCCTTACTTTCTCCACAATTTATCAATACTGTGTACTTTGCTATATGCTTAATACCAGCATTTCTAAACTTTTTTTTCAGCCGGGGCACCTTTTAAAAGTTAAAAAAATCTTAAGGCACCCCAGTCTAAAATATAATGGGTTTTAAGTGTTAACTCTATGTAAAACCGCAAAAATGTGGGGTTCCCCTGCTTCATATTAGAGTCCTCAGTCCCCTATCATATCAGTCTCTAACCATCACAATATTTTGAGGCACCCTTGAGGAAGCCACGGCACATTGGTTGAGAAAGGCTGTTCTGTACTGTACACATTTGTATTCTCTACACTGTATACTGTATAAACACTATGCTATACAGTGTTCTGTGCATTTTGTAATGCACAAAGCTTTACTTTTTACATTGTGCTGTGGATTATTTGATTATATGAAACATCACAGTTCCACCTGTGTCCAAGCAGGTACACATTTGTGAGCACAGTAAAGGAAAACATTGCTATAGGCCAAGTAAAAAAACATTGCTAATTCACTTTTAATTACTGAGACCAATATGAGACATCTGTCACTATAGGAACACAATGCTAATTAGCTTGTTTGCACAGTTTTACATGGTACCAGGCCACAATGTATGAGTGCTTCCTATGAATTGTTAATCTATTTGCTTCTGGCATATTCACATTTGATTGTATATGCTGTTCCAGATTTGTTTTCATGGTGGAAATGAGGCTGACCCTGAGGAGCGGGAGCTTCAAGTTAAAACACCCCAAATCCCAGACATCCAGATACTTTGCAACTTCATCAGTAAATACCTTCCCGATTTGCACCCAAAGCCTGCTGTGATGGAACAATGCATGTATACGGTATGCCTATTCTTTTGTAGATACTATAGAGATTGCTGTAGCAAACTGTGGTTCTATGTTAGCCAATGCTAGAAGTAAAAATCAATTTAAATGTACAAAATAGGAACCACATTTTACTAGTTTTAGAAATGTACAACCCTTATCTCCTAACCTAACATCTATATTTACCTACAAAGTCAAGAATTAATTTAGAAACATGCAGTTTAAATAGCTGCAATAAATATTATATTTAAGAAATGGAAAGTTTCATGTAAAAAAAAATCTTTATTAATTCTATTAATGCAAAGCAAATTCAGCAAATTTCACTTGCCTCAAACATCTGGAAAATCCTCCTTCTACAACATGAAAGAGATGCTATACTGTGGAAGCCATGCCTGAAAAACATCAAAGGACTTTATGATCTTTGCAAGCTGATCTTTTCACCATGACCTATTTACAATGCCTTGAGTCTGGAGGCATGTGAGATATCCAGAAAACCACCAACTTCCCCATTTTTGAATAGAATAGGGAAAGTTTAGATCCACTGTCGGGTTTTAATGTTATCTGTAGCTCCAATTCAACCCACTTTCTGTTCTGGAGACATCATTTTACCAGACAGGAAGTAAAGGAAAATCTGCTACAGGGAAACAGACAGCATTAAAAAGCTGACAGGTTCTAGTATTCTCATACTCAACTAAAAACATTTTTCTTCTGTCTGTGGTACTGTAAGAGAGTTTCCCCCTTGTCCTAGGGAAACTCTTTTCCCAACAGGAAGTGATGGAATCTCTCCAATCATGTCTCCGACTACAGCAAAACCTGTGCTGAGTTGTAATCCTTCCCTGCTCTATCCAAAACAAAAACAAAAGTTTTGGCTTTACATACACTTGAATTGGGTCTTTGGGTCACGGGAGAACGCTAGTTTGTGTTCTCCCGTGACCCTTAGGAGAACTATGGGGAAAAGCCCTGACCCCATAGTTCTCCTTTAAAATTAGTATTAATATTTCCCTGTTTTTATTATTCATGTAAATATGAAATATAGTATGTTAATATTGTGCACATGTCTCTCGAGGCAGGTTTAAATAATGAGCTTTTAATTTCCTTTCTAGAATACTCCAGACAATAATTTCATCTTGGATTACCATCCTCTTTACAAGAACATTGTTATAGGCTCTGGATTCTCAGGTGAGTTGGGAAAATAGAAGTTGGCATATTATACTAAAACCTTACCGAACACAGTTAATTCCTCAACATTTTTTCTTCTACTATAGGTCATGGCTTCAAGCTTTCCCCACTGGTGGGGAAGATATTGAGCGAGCTCAGCATGGGGAAGGAGCCTTCATATGATCTTACACCATTCCGCATTGCTCGCTTCAATACCCCAAGCGCATCTTTGTGAGATGAAGTACAACTTCTTGATGGATACATTATAGAATTTTAGTAACTGATTGCTATACCATCAAGACAAGTTGATGTGGGAGTGAGATAGCACATACATTAATGGTCTTACTTATGCATCTCAGGGCATTGCAGGCAAATAAATAAATCCTACTTGCTGCATGTTTGGTGGAGTTTGCAACAAAATGTGTCCCCTTTGGATGAATAGTAAGAGGTGCCTAAAAAGCACACCATGCCTAAAATACATAGATGTGAATAAAGCCTTAAAGAGTAATTCCACTTTTGTTCAGCAAAAATAATCTTCTCTGGGTGGTCTGTGTACATTGCAAGGGTTTTTACAAACTTTGTTGCGGTTTCCTACCTGTTTTTGTTCTGAAGGATAAGTTGTTTGTTGCAGCTTGCCCTTTCCAAACTGATCCCTGAATGGGAGGGTTATCATTATAATCATCTGGTGGGTTTCCTATGTTGTAATAGGGAACGTGCAGTGTCTGTATCCCTTTAGTAGTAATTAACCCTTGGGAGGTATCTCGCCAAAAATGAAATTCCTATTGCAAGGAATGCCAAAAATTATACTTGTATCTTAGTACAGACCTCTGGGAAAAACAGACAGCTAATCACAGAAGCAGGAAGTGATATATTTGTGTACAGAATGCCTCCAGGTCACCATATTGCATTTAATTTTTTGATAGATATAGAAAACTGCAGCAGCTACAGTTCCAAATAGAAAAGTAATTTTAATAAAATTAAGTTACAAAATGGCTTGTGTGACAATTATATATACACTATATTAATTTTGTAAAGATTTTTTTATTTTTATATTTTTAAAGTGGAGTTACCCTTTAACCTCCCTGGTGGCTTTCCCGAGTCTGGCTCGGGGTTAATTTTAAATACTAGGATTGTTAACCCCAAACCAGACTGGGGACTGCAGAGAAAAGTGACACTCACCTTGTCCCTGCGATCCCACGGCGTCTTCTGCTGTACATGCTCAGTGATGTGCGAACTTGGTACTCTATTTACTGTAGTACGGATCAGGCTGCGCCCCCAGAATTCCCATTTACTGGACCATTTCCCATTTACTGGTCTCCCTGGCTAGACGCACAAAACATCACAGCTCTGGACCTGTAAAGCAATCCTCCATGCTTACTGCTTTAGGTAACATCTTACATACTCATGTATTTGGACATTTGTTATAGAAAGAGTCAACAACAAGATAATACTATTAACTATATTTATTTTCAATTCGCCAAATATGTTACATGGTAATGTAGATAACAAAGCAGTCTTTGTTATGTGGAGTAGAGCCAGGTATGTGCAGTTTACCTGTTTGCTCATTTCCTTATCTGTGTGTTAAAGAGCCCCTACCTGTGTGTTGTACCACTTTATATACTGTATATTCTAGAAAGCTAGAACATCTGTCGTTTCTAGTTTTTGTACCATACCTTAAAAAAAGAGAGGCTTAGAATAGATAAATGATACCATGAAAACCTGAATCCTGCAGTGATGTGAACCTCTGCCTTTGAACTATTAAGACATTATGGGGTCTATTCACAAAGCTGCCGAAGGATCTGGCCGTAGCTTCGGCCGATCCTTCGGCTGGCTTCGGCCCCAGGATCACTCTTTTTCTGTTCTGCTCGGTGCCTCTGAGGGACCGAGCAGAACAGCCGAGCCAAATGCCGCTCGGCGGCATTCGGCTATTCTCTCACTGCTGTTCGGGATCTTTCAGAATAGCCCGAACCGCAGTGTGAAGCCTGCCGGAGGTTCGGCTCAGCCGATCCAGATGTTGGATCGGCTGAGTCGAACTCCTTCTACACTTCAGGTCAGCCGAACATGCCAAGCATGTTCAGCTGATCCGAAGCCACACGAAGTAAGCCGATGTACGGCTGATTTCAGCCGATGTACGGCTGAAATCAGCCGTACCAGCCTGAAGTGAATAGCCGAACAGTGTTCGGCTCACTTCACTTCTGATCGGTCATTCACTCGGCTGCCCTCGGCAGCTTTGTGAATAGACCCCTTAGTAGGAGATGGTATAAAAGGCCAAGATAAAGCTTAAAGTGTATGTGACCCCTAATAATAAACTTCTCATGTTTGCTTGTTTTTGAGCTGCTAAGTATACCCTGGCAACCTATTTACAGGGACTTCTGCGCTTGATTAATCTAAGAAAAACTTGGCGTTTCTCCTTACAGCTGCTCACTTTAATTGGCTGCATGAGCCTCCATTAATATCATTCAAATATGTGAAGTGGTGCTATCACCCAACAAGTAAAATAAATATGTGCAAAAAACAAATATTATAGTGAACAATACTATTGTGAGAGAAAATAAAAAAAATAGGTATATACAGTATATAATATTTTTCAAATATCTTCCAAAATTAAATCTTCTAGTCAACTGTTTGTGTAAATCACAAGGTGATAATCTAAAAAAAACTCCAAATGACTAATAAAGTAACAAACGTCCTGTGTCAGTGTGTAAAACACATAATTGAAACAAAGTGTTACCCTGGCAACTGTTATGCTATATCGGTTTGATAAGTACAATAAAATACCTGTTGATCCTGCCTGAAATCTCGTCAGCTGAAAACTGACTGGCCTCTCATCCTGTGCTGTATTCTTATCAGTAACATTGTTCCAAGCTATCTCTGAGGACTACAGAACACCACCTCCATATGTTATAGACTAGAGATGAGGAAAGGACGAGACATTTTTGTAGTCCTAAAACACATCCTGTCTTATAGTGACAACACTGCATCGATACATCATAGATACAGTACAGTTAGTGAGTGTTGTCACTCTAGGACAGGAAGCGTGTTACTTGCAAAATCACCAGGTAAAAACAAGAAAAGCCTGAAAAAGAAAACAATGCCGCCAGCACATCTAAGGACTGGTAAGCTGCAATATATTAAAGCAGAACTTCCACTGCAAGGGTTAACTGCTCGTTTTTGTCTAGGTTAAAAAAAGTTATAATCACCTGAACTTCAGATCTGGCTTGCTCTTGGACCGGGCCCTGGAGCTTCTCTTCCCCTCCGATGCAGCAGTCTGAAGTCTCATAAATCATCACATTCTTTGGGGATGCTGAGGAACATTCCCAGGATGCAGGACAGGAATATATGCTTCAGTGACCGGAGAAGCAGGCAGCCAACTCGGCGTGAAGGTGAGTATAACTTTTTCTTTTTCGTACCTAGACAAAAATGAGCAGTTAACCCTTGCAGTTTGTTCTTGAGTTTAGATATGCTTTAAGACTCCCTAACCACTTGCTGTCTGCCCATTGTAAAAAAACGGACGGACGGCACTGCAGCATTGGCGGGTTGCCAATTTTTTTTCTGCTCGCGAGCGCCCCCTAGTAGGCACGCACGGGCAGAAAAGACCCGACCAATGCAAACACCCGTTACCGGGTGTTTCACATATAGACGATGTGCTCGTTTTTTCGGACCTGCTCCTGACCCCTCACCTTCAATCCCAGGATCCGCTGCCCCATCTGCGGCCCGGGACCGGCTCGG